ACTATCATAATTTTCCATTACCTTGATGCAAGAGAATGACACAGTCTCCTTTTGTGTGTTTTTAGGTGACATACTTCAAATTTAAGCTACATAAGAAGGAAGTTAGGCTATGTCGTATTTATTCAGTTACACGTTTCTGTTTATTTTACCTGTCCATTGTATTATACTGCATTTAATTGGTGATTTTTTTTTGTGTGTATGTGTATTAATTCTGATTGTGTTGACCACATGCTAGAAGAACTGTATGTCATGAATGCCTTCTTTTATTCGGGATTTAGATTGTTCCAGCTATTTGTTTGAGCAAATTTGTAACATTCTAAAAACACAGTCACTCTGTAACCTGTAAAATTACATTCAGGAAGATTACCTTATAAAAGGTGTATAATATTTGATTTGTGATCAGTGCATAATTTAATGTATAGAATTCAATGAAGAAGTACTGGTTTTACTACATCAGCATTGTTTTTGTGAGTTTAGAAATAGAGAGGATTTTTTTCTCTTCCTATGAACAAACCAGCCAAAGGACACTGACAGTAGAAGGAAAGGAAAACGTTGCTGTTATCTAATATGACATAGGTTTGGGTTTTTTTTTTTTAATTGTTGTCTTTAAGAGGATTAATTTTACTTTTGTCATTGGTCAGACATCAATGGAACATTTTTGGTGTTTTCACAGTATTACTTTGTAGCAGTCTAATTTTGGAGTGAGTGAAAATTAATTTTGTTTGCTAGATAATTCTTCCTTCTAAGAATGACCTTACCTTTTTATATATGTTTTTCTAATTCTTTAGCCTAATCTAAGATAGTGTCATTTAAATAGAAACCACTGACCTGAGTCTAGAGTTTAGAATGCTATAACCCAGTCTACGGAAGAGATGAGGTAAGAGTCACTTCTCACTGCCAACAGCTGTCTACTCTTCCAGATTTCCCTTTGTTCTTTTGGGCCAGGCATTAGTCTTTATGGCCTACATCTTTATTTAATTGTTATTTCCATAATTTTCTAAAATCCACAAATTCTTAGGTAATTTGTGGATTAAAATCTGATCAGTGCCCTGTCTACCTTCAGAAAATCTAATGCTAGCAGGAAAGAAGGGAAAAAGAGCAGATCATCTCCTTTCATTACCAGCATGGGTTTATTTTCTATTTATATTGGGTCTGGATGGGTTAGAGTTAATTTTCTTCACAGCAGCTTATTACGGAGCTGTGTTTTGAATTTGTGACGTTGTTAAGACACTGGTGTTTTGGCTATTGCTGAGCAGCACTTGCACAGTGTCCAGGCTTTCTCTTTTTCCCCATTCCTGGACCCCCTGGTGAGTAGGCTGGGGTGGGCAAGAAGTTTGGAGAGGACATGGTTGGGGCAGCTGAGCCAAACTGACTGCAGGGATATTCCATGCCATGTAACATCATGCTCAGCAATAAAAAAACTGAGGGTGTTGGTCTGGAAGGTACCTGTTGCTTGGAGACTGGCCACTTGTGGGAGGTAGCAAGTGGTGAAAAACACCCCTTGGTGTTTTTTCCTCTTCACTTTCCTCTTTTATTCATTTATTAAACTGTCTTTATTTGGACCCATGGATTTTCTTGGTCTTCCTGTTCTCTCCCATATCTCTCACCTTTGGGGGAGGGGGTGAGTGAGCAAGGAGCTGTAAGGTGCTTTGCTGCTGCCTGGGGTTAAACCACCACAGAGTTCTTACACAGAATGAAACGTTTGAGTGTTTATTTGCAATGATATGACTGAATATGATCCCAGAAAAAAACATTTATCATCTGTAACTTTGACGTTATCTTTGGTATTTTTGGTATTTTGCCTCTCCCAAGCTGGTTCTTGAAAAGGAATCTGTTCTACCTCGTGAATGAGGGGAACATAATTGATCAGGAGAGCTAGGAGTGAACTGGGATGGACAAATAATACTTAAAGTTGATCTTGCTTTCAGTTTTAACTTTCAGTGACGTGGTCTTTTTGGGAATGTGTAAGAAATTTCTTAATTGATCCATTTTAAGCAAGGGTTATATCACACTTAAACACTTGGCTGACTTTAGGGTTCATTGCCAACACCTAGTGATATATAAGCCAGGCAGGTGAATTGATCAGCTGAAAGCTTCACAGCCTCTCCTAACTTCATTTCAGTTAGTATTTTCTGGGGGGAAGTTGTAGAGTTTTCACAGCTAACTTATTCCACAACTAACTTACCGTATGCCACATGAATCATAGAATCATTTAGGTTGGAAAAGACCTTTAAGAGCGAGTCCAACCGTAAACCTAACACTGCTAAGTCCACCACTAAACTATGTCCCTAAGCACCACATCTACGTGTCTTTAAAAGACCTCCAGGGATGGCGACTCAACCATTTCCCTGAGCAGCCTGTTCTAATGCTTGACAACCCTTTTCGTGAAGAAATTTTCCTAATATCTAATCTAAACCTCCCCTGGTACAACTTGAGGCCATTTCTTCTTGTCCTACCATGTCCTCTGTGGGAAAATGGTAGTGGTAGCAGAAGGAAGCAAAGAAAAAGGCAGAGAAAAGCTTTCCTTTAATCAGGGGTGTGGCTGAAAAGAGCAGCTTAATATCTTGGCCTAGAATGGTGGAATACTAAGCTGCTTATGCCAGTAGAAGAAACATCCTTTTGCATATTAGGGTTATCAGTAAAATGTAAGAGACTTATGACTATCTGTAGCTTCAGGAAGTGGTTTTAGGGTACTTTGGAACTGGTGTATCCAGTAAGCCAGTAATAAGTGAGGGTCCCTTCCTGGTCCCAGTGCTTTCATTTTGTGAGCTCCTGATGCTTTGTGCCAATGCAGATACAGCTGAAGACTGAGCTGATGCAGATTCAGCAGAAATGAATGTTTTCTGATGTCTTATCACAAAATCACCAGCTGTCTGTGCAAAAAAGCTACAGAAATTTGACTAAGGATTTGGGGACTAGGTGAATGCTACTGTCTAGCAGTACTGCTCTTTTCAGTATGTCTGTGGTGGCTTTCCATTAGAATCACAGAATCTTTGAATCATTTGGGTTGGAAAAGACCTTTAAGATCATCAAGTCCAACCATCAACCCAACACCACCATGACCCCTAAATCAAGTCCTGAAGTGCCACATCCACACATTTTTTGAACACTTCCAGTGATGGCGACTCCACCACCTCCCTGGGCAGCCTGTTCCAATGCTTGACCACTCTCTCAGTAAAGAAATTTTTCCTAATATCCAATCTAAACCTTCCCTGGCGCAACTTGAGGCCATTTCCTCCTGTCCTATCGCTAATTACTTGGGAGAAGAGACCAACACCCACGTCACCACAACCCCCTTTCAGGTAGTTGCAGAGAGTGATGAGGTCTCCCTCAGCCTCCTCTTCTCCAGACTAAACAACCCCAGTTCCCTCAGCTGCTCCTCATAAGACTTGTGCTTCAGACCCCTCACCAGCCTCGTTGCCCTTCTCTGGACACACTCGAGCACCTCAATGTCCTTCTTGTAGTGAGGGGCCCAAAGCTGAATACAGGATTCAAGGTGTGGCCTCACCAGTGCCGAGTACAGGGGCACAATCACGTCCCTACTCCTGCTGGCCACACAATTTCTGATACAGGCCAGGATGCTGTTGGCCTTCTTGGCCACCTGGGCACACTGCTGGCTCATACTCACCCAGCTGTCAGTCAGCACCCCCAGGTCCTTTTCCACCAGGCAGCTCTCCAGCCACTCCTCCCCAAGCCTGTAGTGTTGCATGGGGTTGTTGTGACTAAAGTGCAGGACCCGGCACTTGGCCTTGTTAAACCTCATACAATTAACCTTGGCCCATACCTCAGACATTTTGTGGGATGAGACTTTTTGTCAGTTCTCCGTTTCCTGGGTCTGTATGATGACTGAGACGATCTGAAGAGGAGTATTTGGTTCTTCATTTCTGGAATGCATCTGGTTTCATCAGTCTTGCTTCTCAGAAGGGCACAGTATTGTTCCATGTATGGTTTAGTCCTGTTTTCAGGAACTGCAGCTAATTCTCCTCTGCACTGCCGTAATTATTAGGGATTTTAATGGTCTGTGGGTGAGGAGCATAGCTAAGGAGTACTTCATTAACTATTTTCATTGCACCTTTTTTTTTTTTCTTGCTTTGGATGCAGAATGGCCAGAGATGCAGTGCAAGAGCCTTACCTGGTTTATGCAGTGATCCATCTGCTCTTCCCTCTGTCCTGATCTGGTCGTATTTCATCTAATAATACCACTGTGTCGTTCGGCCTGTTAAATAGGAGATTGGAAGCTTAAGAGGAAGTGATCCTCATGAATCTCATGCCTAAATATTTTGTTGATGTAACATGACAGATCAGATTGAAAAAATCCTCAGAACAATACGTGTTTCTGTGTTTCTGTTCAAATTCAAAATAAAAGATTTTTCATGAGGGGTGAATGTTACAGCCCTTAAAGTTTTAAGGGAGCACAAGATGCGTTAGCACAGCAAAAATGAAGGAATAACTGTCATTCTCTTTTCTCTTGTACTAACTCTTTATGAGCCTTGTCTTCACTGTGATAATTAGCTCCAGTTAATGCGCTCACACAGAGGTCATACTGGAGAGAGTGAGTAGAGGAGGAAATGTCTAGAGCTTAATTAGTTGTAACTTGGGGTTCTGCCTAACTGTTGCAGGAAAAAGGTGAAAATTCAGCTAGACTTGAGTAATCCAGGTAAGAATCCTTATTTACTAGTTACTGAGCAGACTAGATGTTAATAGCTCTTCAGTTACTACTTTGGAATGTTATTTTTTTGAAAGGCCATAAATAGTTATTCAATCTTACCTTCAGACTTTAAAATAAGTAAAATACAAGTTGTAATGTATCTTTAATAAGAACTTCTGTCTTTAGCGATGAGTTCATAGCAATTGAATTCATGATAATCTTAAGTATACTGAAGACTGTAGGCTAATGTGAATCAGAAAGCATAAGAACAGAGATTAAAGGTGTTTATTGAATATAGACTTTGAGCAGTGGTGGACTTGGTATAACTTTTGCTGTCATATTCTGCTTTTAGGTAAAAAGAACATACTCTCATGGTACGTATAGAGCTGGCCCAATGAGACAGATCAGCCTGGTTGGAGCAGTTGATGAGGAAGTGGGGGATTACTTCCCTGAATTCCTTGATATGTTGGAAGAATCACCCTTCTTAAAAGTAAGGACAGAAGGGAATGGGTTGGGAGAAGGGTGACTATATTGTCAAGAACTGTTACAATAAAGTGAGATATGTGATACTTGCTTAGATAATTGAGTGGTCTAATAAATGTTTTCATTGTGACAGGTGAAGGCTGCTTTTAAAAAGTTTTTAAAGTAACTCACTTAAAAATTGTGGCTTGTATTTCCCATTAGTGTACACTGCCATGGGGAACACTTTCTAGTTTAAAATTAGAGAGTCGTAAAGACAGTGATGATGGTCCCATTATGTGGGTACGTCCAGGAGAACAGATGATACCTGTGGCTGATATGCCAAAGTCACCTTTCAAAAGGAAGAGGTATGTTGAATTATTTTGCTTGATAAATGTCTAGTTAGTATTCTTTCTCTACGAATTCATTTTATCCCAAACCCTTTACTGGTTGATACCGTATCTTAGTACAAATTCTGCAGATCTTCATCTCGGAATACACTCTTAATTTGCTTTGTTTTGTAAGGGTGTGGAATTTTTTTTTTTTAAATTGTTTACTGTCTGGCCAAGTAAGGTCATGGTCCTTTTTGGAGCTTTAGTGGGAACTTAAGGTGAAAACTGCAGGGAAGCGTGAACAGGCATACAACCACTGATGTATGTCACGACACTGGAATTAATACCCCTGTTCTTAAATGTGAGTGGATGTTTAGAGACCTCAAGGGTCAAGGGCTTGTCTCTCACCTGAAAGGTAACACTTCCACATTAAATGACATCTTTAAGCTTTGCTGTTGTACAGGGTATAAGTACGAGCTTAAGAGTAAGGATGTCCTCTGCAGAACTCTTAATATTATGTGTCATGAGTTCTGTTGTTCAAAATTCAAACATAGCAAGGGAGTCAAACATAACATAACAAGCCTCAGAAGGAGTATAGAGACACTGTCCAACCATGGAGGGGATGTAGTTAAAGCCAAAAACGATCCGGAGTTGAATTTAGCAAGGGATGTGAAGGACAAGGACTCTACAGGTGTGTGGACAGCAAAAGAAAGACGAGGGGAAAATGTAAGGCATCTGCTGAAAGGGTTAAAGGGCCTGGAGACAAAGGACATGGAAAAGGCCAACATAACTTGATACTTTCTTTGCCCTTGTCTTTACTGGTGAGATTTACCTTCGGGGATGCTGAGTCCCAGAGACAGTAGGAATGTCTGGAGCTAGGGCTACTTGCTTTCAGTGGAGGAGAATAAGGTTAAGGAACATGAGACATGCAAATTAGGCAGACACAAGCCCATGGGACCTGATGGGTTGTACCCACAAGTGCTGTGGGAGCTGGCCAGTGTCATTGCAAGGCCACTCTTGATTGTCTTTGAAAGGTCATGGCAATTGGAGAAGGTTCCTGAGGACTGGAGGAAAGCAAATGTCACTCCAGTCATTTAGAAGGGTAAGAAGCAGGACCTGGGGAATTGCAGGCCAGTCACCTTCATCCTGGGAAGGACACCATTTCAAACATGAGGGACATGATTGTTGGGGGTAGCTAGTATTGATTTACAAAGGAGAAATCATGCCTTATACATCTGAGAGCATTCTGTGACAAAATGACTGGCTCACAGGATGTGAGGAGTGCTAGGGGCGATGTTTATCTTGAATTTAGCGAGGCTTTCCACACTGGACACCTGTCTCCATAACATACTAATAGACAAAATAATGAAGGACAAAGTAGACTGATAGACAGTGAAGTGGTTGAAGAACTGGCTTAACTGCCATGCTCAAAGGGTTGTGATCAGCAGCACAAAGTCCAGCTGAAGGACAGTCACTACTGGAGTAACCCAGACATTGATACCTTGTGCCAGTACTGTTTGACATCTTCATTAACGGGTTCGAGCACACCCTCAGCAAATTTGCAGGCGGTACAAAACTAGAAGGAGTGGTTGACCACTCAACACCACAGTGGTTGACATGACAGGGTCACGCTGCCAGAGAGAGGGACCTTGAGAGGCTGTAGAAATGGGCCAACGCAGTGGACTCACAAAGTTAACACTGGGGTGTGCAAAGTCCTGCACCTGGGAGAAATAACCCTATGCATCAGCACAGGCTGAGGACCGACTGTCTGGACAGCAGCCTGACAGGGAAGGACTTGGGGCTCTGTGGGGGTGACAGGTTGCCCATAAGCCATCAATGTGCCTTTGGCAAAGCAGGCCAGCAGCCTCCTGGACAGGATTAGGAAGAGCACTGCCAGCAGGTTGAGTGGGATGATTCTTTCCCACCATTCCTTGCTGGAGTATCATGTCCAGTTCTGGGCTTGCCAGTCCAAGACATGAGTATGCTCCAGCATACTGGAGCAGTCTGGTAACATGAAAGGTAGGCATGGGAGAACTGGGATTTACCCTTGAGAAAAGAAGACTCAATGGGATCATATCAATGTGTATAAGCATCTGAACGGGAGGTTGCAAGAAGGACTTTTTTCAGCAGTGACATGACCAGAGGTAACGGGCACAAACTGAATTATAAGAAATTCAGTTTAAAATAAGGAAAAAAGCCCCAAACAAACCATCAAGGAGTTTACTGTATGGGTGCTTGAACAGTAGGACCGGTTGCCTAGAGAGCTTGTGGAGTCTCCATCTTTGGAGTTGCTGAAAACCTGACTGGACATGGTCCTGAGCAGCCTGTTCTAGTTGAGTGGGAGAAGATGGACTACACAGTCTCCAGATGTCTCTTGCAACCTTGGCTATGTTATGATTATAAGCAGCTCTTGGAAGAACGTGGCACACAAAGTTGGCTCCAGGTGGCTGAGAAAATGGTCTTGTGGCTCTGTTCCTGCTCTGCAGTGCTTCCTTTGCTTTCATTAAACCTTGAAGGAATAACACAGGCAGACCTGGGGTTTGGGGACCAGATTCAGCCCAGACTCCAGTGCAAGTGTGTGGTGATGGGGCAGGTCAAGCCAGGAAGTCGATCTGCAAGTGAGTATCAGGTCCAGTGATTGCTGGCTGGCCCATCATGACAGCTGTCCTGAGGTCAAGCACACTTGTGGCTGAGGTGAAGACCAGTGCTCCTGCAGCATGGCTCGAGCCAGGACTGAAGGCACAGGAGTGAGCTTAAATAAAGCCTCTGGGCTCTTCATCTGGGTTTGTGGGTGGAGACTGCAGGTGAGGCTGCTCAGTCAATAGAGTCCTTTAGTGCACTCAGGGCCCTGACACTGTGGTGGTGTGGGGTTTTTTTTAATGTGTGTTGTTATTTTTTTATTGCATAGGTGTTCTGATTTTTTGCATGGCTCATTAAGTTGTTAATTTTTCCTCAGTGTTACTCTTTTTCTCATGTGACTATATGTTCTCACTGAAGGGAGAAAAACAATCCTATTGGCTATGGTGGAAATTAGGTAATTAAGAGAGACTTCTCCATCACTAGTATTGTTTTTCTTCTACAGAACTACCAATGAAATAAAAAACTTGCAGTACCTACCTCGAACCAGTGAACCCCGTGAAATGCTATTTGAAGACCGGACACGAGCCCATGCAGATCACATAGGACAAGGTTTTGAACGACAGACTACAGCTGCTGTGGGAGTATTGAAGGCTGTGCGCTGTGGAGAGTGGTATGTGTTGATTGATTTATTCACCTAGGTGTTGGGAAAAATATTTGCCTGAATTTGCATTTATGATTGGTAGAAGGGGCACAGAATAGGTTAATCTAGTATTAAAGATTTAATGAAGACTTAGTAGATACTGGACCCTTTTTTTTCCCCTCGATCTCTGTGCACTAGATGTGTTTGTCTGTCCTCTGCCAGATTGCATACAGTTTTGCTGTGTGGTTGAAAGTGGAAAGGTGCGTTGCGATGACAGTTTAATAGCTATAATTAGAGTTGCTGTAACTGAGTTAATGCTAGATGTAAAAATACTTCATGCTTTGTTTTGCTTTAAATAGTGTGTATAGACGGATGTGAGTTTCTGCTTCAGAGTGCACATGAAGACTTTTTGGCAATACTTTTTGTTGTCTGGAGATGAGCAGAATTTTTATGCTTCCGCTTCAAAGTAATGGCTGTCATAATCCTGATTTATTTATGGTAGATCACCTAAGAAGAATCCTACTGGAGGTTGTGTGATATTCTTTGGTGTCTGTCTTAGGAATTCCATATGAGATTCAGGAATTGAATGTATTGCCTTCCAAGCTGTTTACATTTTAGCCAAGTAAAAAGCCCATAATCGTAAGGGCTTCTTGGCCCAGATCTAAGAAGCAGCATTTTTCAGGATCTTCTGACCTTGGTTTGGGAGAATGACCTTCGTTTTGGAGATTACATTTGCATACATAAACACTAAAAACACCTTTTGCTCTTTGTACCTGTCTAGAAATTAGAAGGATGAACTCCCTTTGGATGAAGTGATGCAAATTTGTATTACAGTGCATGAGTTCATTGAGATAGAGAATTGAGTAATTGCTGTTGGGGAAGAACTGGATTGTTCAGATGTTAATGTGTTTTGGGCTCTGAGGTTTTGCAGTTTGTTTCCTCTTCAGGTTGATGATAGCTGGAGCCTTAAACTTCCTGCTTGCTCTGATTGTGAGAAGGTAGAGTGAATTAAGACTGAGCAGTGGTAGCAGGGCAAGAGCTGAGATACTGTGTACATCTGATTATTTTAAATTACACTTTGCACATATGAGAGAGAGACTCAAAGCCTTACCAAAGAAAGTAAAAAAAAAAAACCCCACCCAAAACCCAAACACACTAAAAAACCCAAACAAAACCAACCAACCAAAAAACCAAAACAGCCCCCCCCCAACCCCAAAATCAAACCCAAGACAAACCAAAACCCCATTCCCCAAACTTGTGTATCTGTGGAAGTTAATAATTTAAATTGATAGTAATTTAAAGATCTGTGGGAACTTCCCATTCTAATCGTTTATCTTCATAACATGATCCTTCTCCCTTGGAAGTCATTACATGTTCATTTACATTCTAAAAACAGGTTTTTTTGCTTTTCAGATCTAAACCATGTTCTCTCATATCTTGGAACTTGTGGAAAGGGTGTCTATTCAACTTCCATTAAAACTCCTTTAAAACTTGGAAAAAAATGAATGGAACTGGTCAAAATAAAAATTGTATGGATTAAAATGTGATCTGAAAATAGGCAAAACTGTGCAACAAACTTGAAAGTACTTCAATTCGGGGAAGAAGAAAAGTAACTATCAGCATTTCAATTCAGTGTAAGGATTGAAAATATATCTTTTAATGCAGAATAAAAAATTTGGGACTGACATGTAGAGGAAGAAAATACATAACACAATCAACACAAAAAAATTTATTTATTTCAAGCTTGATTTGATCTCAATGATAACTTCTCCTTTCCCTTTCCACTTTTTTGGTATAATTTCGAAAAGCCATTTCACTGTACTTATATCAAGAGAACTAATCAGGGTTTATGATAATGAAGCATCATTAATGTAACACATTAAAATAACTTTAGCTTTACCGTAATTTATAAGATGTTGGTAGATTTATTATAAAGGAAACAACATGCATGAAAGTCTTGAAAAATCTGAGTGGGTTTGTTTTTTGTGGGGTTTTGGTTTTTTTTTCTTTTCCTCCACCCCCACGCCCTCCCCATCTGTTTGAGCAGTTGAACAAAGCTGAAAGTTGGAGGTATTCCAGGGGTGATTAGGGCACTGTGGCAGTAAAAATGCACGTGTTTTAGTGATCAGATACCACATACAAAATTCATGTTTTCTGTGAGAAAACAAAGCAATTCCTAGATTTACTGAACTGAATTGTTAGTTTTTGCTTTCCCAAATATAACAGGCTCTTGATTTGAGATGTTTTGTAAAATTACTGGATTATGATTTTTTTTTTTTATTTCTGTGAATTTTTAGAAATTGTGGAAATTTGAGTGGGTTTTTACAGGGAGAGCAAAAGGCACTTCGTGGCATTGTTGTTGGCAAAATCAAATCCTTCTGTCCTGTGCTTCAGCAAGCAACTTTCAAGTTTATATTCTAGAGGGTGAAGTTGTTAGTACTTCTCTATATGATCGTAAGAATTCATTATATATTGCCAGACTTTATGTATTAGGTCAGAAATATTCGTCGTAAAACCTGTAGTCTTGAATGTTTCGAAAAGTTACAGCGAAGAGTCCATCCCTCTCAAAGAATGAGGTTAAGGGAAAAAAAAAGATTGCCAAAAATAGTTCTAGCAGTGCTCTAGTAGGAACTTAAATGGATTTTTCTGAAGTCATCTTATAGTTCTGTTTGGATTTAATGTGGTTTTTTTTTGGACATCTAACTGAACTATTCTGCTACTGTTTTGCTTGGGGAGGGGACGACAGCCTCTAAACCTTAGGTTTTGCAAAATACAATCTCAAAGTTGTGCTAAATGCCAAATCCACAAATGCAGAATTAAAAATTATCTGGCAATAATTTGTGTTGTTTTTAATTCTTAACTTGTTTTACATATTGTTAACTGCTGATGCAGATACATATTCAAAAAATAAAAAACACATCTGTAGAATAATGTCGCTAATTTTTTTTTTTACGCCACTGATGAGAGATATTTCTGTAAGCTTTTTGCTTGCAGTGCTTAAATCCTCTTCAGGACTATGTAGAACAAAATACAGAGACCTTTTAATCTTTGTAAAATTGAAAGTAAAACATGAGGTCTGAAAATTCTCCCTAGCATACTTCAGTAGTTGATCTGGGATTGGTTTTTTTCCCCTCCTGAAAATAGCCTCAGACTGGTTATTTTTTGCTTTATTGAGGTCACGACCTAAATAAAATAGGCATGTCTCTTCAGTTAAAGAAGCCCAGTAAACTGTGCATCATTGCCGGCTGCTTAGAACGTTAACAACACTATGTATATCTATAAATTTAAAAAAATTGGTTTTCATCTTGCTTTTAAAAAAAGAGTGCTTGACCAGCCATTAA